GCAAATATTTAACGTAAAATTGTAATATTTGGATATCAAATCATGAGATACGTGCTGAGTGTGTAAATATATTGGATAGCATGCTGCACCAAAATTGCAAGATCTACATTTCAGCCCTACCCTATATGTGGTATTGGTGGCATACAGCATTAGTCAACATATATTTGATTTTGTACTTTGTAACCATGGTGACTCTTCAGTACTCTGTATTCATTGAGCTTTCCTCTTCAGGTCATCGCATTCAGTTTAGCTTCCCGTTCATTTTTTTTTACGCCGTGTTTCTGCTTTCCTCATCCTTAATTTGAGCTTTTATCTGGAGAAGCAATGTGTTAGGGGTAGGTGGTCAAATTGGATGTCAACAAAAATAAGCGTACTAAATCCATCCAGATTTCTGTTCATATTGTGTAACACTGCAATTTTTTTTTATTTTCAGGGAGAACAGGTTGCTGAATTACTACTGACTCAAGCCACAACCAGTGAATGCCAGGATATACAGCTTTTTAAATCTGAAGTAAAAAATCTCTTCAGTGAAGCCAGGCTGAAGACAGGTTCTCTGGGAGAGGTATTAGCACATTGACATTCCTTAGTTAAGGCCACAATACAATATTAATAATATAATGCAGCATTGTGATGCAGGAAATGTTCATTGCAAAGATATTCAGAGGTTTAATAGAAATATCCAATTCATCTATTTGTAGTCGTAATGGTGATTTCTACTTGTTTGTCCCAGAGTGAGGTGACTCCATGGAATACTACAGTTGTGTAATTTATTTTCATCACTAGATTGCTGTCCGGTAGAATGGTAGGTGGGCTGATGGTACCAGTTTATGAGGAAGAAGGAAAGATGTACTTATGTTTGCTGATCAATTTTAAATGCTTTTCCTCTTATCCTCTCAGCTCCATGTTGCAGGTTTACTGTCTCAGATTTTGGAGACACTCCTTGCACACAAGGTAAAGTGAAATGCTGAGCTTGATTCCATGCCGAAATCTATGTTTTTGATCAATGGAAATCTGACTGCAGCTTTATGTTTGCAATTCTTCTCTCCACTCCAGGTCAAGGTGGAAAGTAAATTTGTCTCCATCATCTTTGCCTTCATGGTCTTGGAGAGCCTCAGTCATTCTCTGGATCCCAAGTTAGACTTGCTGGAAGTGGCCAGACCTTTGCTACTGAAGAACACACAAAATTTGTAATGATGTTCTCAAACTGTAGCATTGCATTATGACCATCCTTACTCGGGAAAGGAGACAGTACCTTTACCAGAGATCTGCACCTATTCAATCTTTGATCAACATACGTGGGGATTTAACAATGGGATGATGCCAAGGTCAGTAAAAATCCATTTGTGGAATAATTCATGATGTTTATCAGACTTTTAGGCCCTTGTGAAAGTGTAAACAAAATGAAAATGCAAGATTATATGTGTGTGTGTGTAGACTTCTTGGATATATTGATTTTATTACACTGCACTGACAAACTGAACAAATGTAGTTTTCAGTCATGGTGATTTGAATCTTTGACTGTTAGCACAGAGTGGGAAGGGTAAGAAGTTGGCACCATCCATAACATGTTGCAGAGCTTTGTAAAATAAACTAATAAAATGAAACGACTGAATAGCTTTCTTATGTCTCTAATTTTAACTGTAGTATACTTCATGTTTTATTAAAGGGGGAAAGAAATAGTGCTTACAAACATATAGCACCTTTTTATGACTTTAGCCAAAGAAGTACTTTTGAAGTACAGTCACTGTTGTAATGTAGGAAAAGCAACAGCTAATTTGCACACATCAAGCTGTCACAAACAGCAATGACCCAATAATCCATTTTCTATGATGTTGATTGAGCAATACATATTGCCTAGGTCACCATGAATAACTTGCCTGCTCTTTGGGATAATGCCAAGGAATCTTTTGAGACCAATGTGGATTTCTGTTTAACATCTCATACAAAAAAGGTCACCTCCAACAGTATACAGCCCTGCACTATTGTACTTGAGTGTCAGCTAAATTTTTTTGTTCCAGTCTCTGACGTTGGACTTGAATCCACAACCACTAATTCAAGTAGTTGCGCTACCTGCTGAGCTACAGCTAAGTAGCATAGAGGTACGGAGAACTCAAACACTCTGAGCAGGATTGTTTGATCATACTTTGTAGGGACCGATGATCTGAAAAGCTGCTTATAATAATTTTTGTACCACCAAGGAATGGAATTGCATAACTGAGACAAGAGTGTCTAATTTTAGTCTGCATTTTGATGGAATTGAAATATTTGTATACTTCCATAATTTGTTTTGAGACTTCCTCAAGTAGTTATGTGTCTGTCTGTACGCAGCAAAAAAGATAGTAAACAGTAATGACTGTTTAACACAAAGCTTGTACAGACCATTTACAAACCACAGGATAGAAAACTGTTTTCTTAGGGGTATTTTTCTTAGTCACGTAGTCATTCCAGTTTTTATTTCTCCTCCGGTACTTTCCCCCCACCCCCCAAATTTCCTGAGTCCATTACTGTTTCTGTGCTTTTCTGCTCCAATTCTTCCATTTCTTGAATCTCCCTTCTTAGATAAATACACAATTACCTTCTCTTTGCCTTTCCATCCTCCAAAGGGTTCAATTATACACTCAATGCTGGCTCATTTGCAACTACAATACCAATTGTCCTCCTTTTGTTCCAACCTTTCCATTCAGTGTTTAAGTTAGATGCTTAGCTTCCTGTCATTATACTTCACCTATCATTGCCTCCGTGGTTGATGATAGCTGATGACCGTCACAGACCCTTTACGTTTCCTTCATAAATGCCCACTACCACAAACAGGGCCTTGTTTCCCACAGCAGCTATTGTGGATGATTGTAGGGACCACTTGGATTCAGGTGAAACATGGCTGATGGGTGGAAGTGTATTACTCCTGGCTGAAGATTCTTCACTTGGCTTTACTTTCAAGTGGTGGTAATGTGTCACATCTTTTAATCACACCTTGATTTCTCCCACTACTCTAGCTCATCCTGTTTTAAGTATTTCACCTTGTTCCACACCTTTCACTTTCGTCAAAATTCTCATTCTTTATCACAACCCAAAATCCACCTAGAGAATTTTTCTCCAAAATATCCTCCCTTTTTCACTTTTTGTCGATGTTTTGCATTGAGTGACTCATCATTTGTGATTTCAAATTCGATCTCAGATTGCCATCCATTGCTCTGATCTCATCTCTGAAAAAAGCCCTGATTTCTTTTTATCCTTCCTAAACCTCCTCTCAATATTGTTTGTGTGAGGCACGGGTTAGGAGGGGAAGAATTGACAAAATTGTTTAAGTGTGTCAATTGACAAGGTCAGTTGCATAATGCCACGTTTCAACAACTATTCATTGTGCTAAAAAGCAAGATTCACTAGATTGGAATGAATATGTTTTAATAAAGCTATCAGGTGAACTAAAACAATACATTAGCAATGATTTTATAGACAATGAAGATCTGTAACTCTAGAGTTTTTAGTAACTCCCATGCATGCTACTACTTAAATGTAGACTCAAGGAAGCAGCAGTTATAATGTTGTTTTGAAACTTGTGTCTTGAAAAAGGTCTTTATTTTGGAACAAGATTGATGGTTAGTGCGATGATCCTTGTTGATGGTAATACTGGACAAAAAAAGATTTCAGAATGAAACCTGGCTTGTTAGATCATAGGTTTGATTGTTTGCTCGTTAACCTAGTGGTGAATGACTGAAACATATCCACACAAGACTGCACCTTTTTATTAAAACAACAGAACACAAGCTTCTTGCATTAAAGGAAAAACAAATAAATCAAGCTGCAAATATATACACATTGCAGTTAGAAAGATGGTAAAACATCACAACAAAGTTTCAACATGTTTCACAATACCACCCATTACAGTGTGTCAAGCCTAGGTAAATTACACCCACATCTCAACTCTTTAGGATCCTGCTTCACTGACTTCTTCCCAGGTTTTTCACAATGCACTGTGGAGACTATTTGATTTCTTTCTGAGTCTGCCGTCACAAACTTTTCACAAATCTGAAAGCCTACATGTTCTGTGTTCCAAAGACTTGCAGCTTTCTGCTCAAACTCTCCTGGCCTGGAAGCTGCGCAATCTAGACATTTCTGCTGGAGTGACTGGTTTCCCTCAACTGAACAAGAAGAACTCTTACTGGGAGGGAAACTAAAATGAGTTTCTGAACACAACTCTGGTGTTGTCTGAACTGAACTGAACTGAACTGAAACCCTTCCTTCTGAACTCAATCCCTGATTCTTCTGGACTGAAAATAAAGTTAAAAACCAAAAGAACTGTGGATACTGTAAACCAGGAACAAAAACAGATGTTGCTGGAAAAGCACAGCAGGTCTGGCAGCATCTGTGAAGAGAAATCAGAGTTAACGTTTCAGTTTCAGTGACCCTTCCTCACAACTGATGGTAGCTAGGAAAATGTTGATTTATATGCAGAAGATAGGGCAGGGGGAGGGGATAAGGAGTAAACAATAGGTGGGGATAGAGCCCAGAGAGACCGAACAGTTGGACAGACAATGGAGTGGATAATAATCTGGCTAGGAGGGTGAATAGCTGTTAGTGGGGACTGTTAGTGGATAACAATAGGTAGTGAGTAACGGTAGACTGTGATAACAAGGCCGGGTGTGTGGGGTTAGGAGCTAAGACATGGGAGAGTTCATGGCCTAGAATTATTGAATTCAGTAGTGAGTCTGGAGGGCTGCAGTGTCCCCAAGTGGAAAATGAGATGTTGTTCTTCCAGCTTGCGTTGAGTTTCGCTGGAACGCTGAAGCAAGCCAGAGACAGAGATGTTGGCCAGGGAACAGGGTGGTGTGTTAAAGTGACAGGCAACTGGAAGCTCAGGGTCTTTTTTGCAGGCAGAATGCAGTTGTTCTGCAAAGTGGTCACCTAGTCTATGCTTCGTTTCCCCAATGTATAGGAGACCACCGTGTGAGCAGCGAATGCAGTAGACTAGATTGTGAGAAATGCAGGTAAAGCGCTGCTTCACCTGGAAGGTATGTTTGGGCCTTTGGATACTGAGGAGGGAAGAGGTAAATGGGCAGGTGTTACACCTTTAGCGATTGCAGGGGAAGGAGCCGTGGGGCTGTGGGGGTTGTTGGGAGTGAAGGAAGAGTGGACCAGGGTGTCCCAGAGGGATCAGTCCCTGCGGAAGGCAAACGAGGATTGAGAGGGGAATATGTGTCTGGTGGTGGCATCTTGCTGGAGGTGGTGGAAATGGTGGCTGATGAACTTCTGGATGTGGATGTTGGTGGGATGGTGGGTAAGGACAAGGGGAACCCTATTTCTGTTGCGGGAGGGAAGACCAGGGGGTGAGGGCGGAAATGCAGTAGATGGGTTGGACCCGGTTGAGAGCCCTGTCGACACTGGTGCTCAGTTGAGGAAGAAGATGGACATTGCAGAGGCTCCCAAATTGAAATTGGCCTCATCAGAACATATGCGATGGAGATGGAGAAACTGGGAGAATGGAATGGAGTCTTTATGGGAAGCAGGGTGCAAAGATGTATAGTCCAGGTAGCTGTGTGAGTCAGTGGGTTTATAGTGGATATTAGTGGCCAGTTGATTCCCAGAAATGGAAACAGAGATGTCGAGAAAGGGAAGAGAGGATTCAGAGATAGACCGGGTGAAAGTGAGGGCAGGATGGAAATTGGAACCAAAGTCGATGAACTTTCCAAATTCTGGACGAGAGAGGGAGGGAAGCAGCACACCTGTAAGGTTAAAGTAATTAAATTTACAGTAAGTAAAGCAAGTTAAAAGTATATGTGAAGGCTGGGGGCTCGTGCTCAGGAAGTGTCATCAGCTGCTTAACCTTGAGGTCCAGTTTTCAGAGCTTGAGCAGCAGCTAGAGTCACTGAGGTTCATCCTGAGCCAGAGAAGTATGATGGTAGCACATTCAGCGCGGTGATTACACTGTATATTAGAGGCACGCAGGCAAATAGGGAATGGATAATTGCCAGGCAGATAGTGCAGAAATCCCCAGAGTTCCATTCACTAACTGGTTTTCCATTCTGAATATCAGTGAGGCTGATGGATTCCTGAAGGAGTATCACAGGTGGCCCAGCTGTACAGGAAGGGAGGAAGCAGATGGGGAGGGTAGAACTGATAGACGATTCTTTATTTAGGTGATCAGACTGGTATTTTGGATGAGATAGTGGTAGTGTAAGGGTAGTGAGAGACAAGCATTTCTAGATTCTATTTAAGAGAATTTCGAATGGCAGGATATGTCCAATCCAAGAAGAAAAGAGATTATGATAGACCTGGTTTTGGGAAATGAGGAAAAAAGCAACAACAAAGGAAATAGAAATTAAGTTAAAGAAGAAAAACTGTGCTTATGACAGGTGTCAGGTCGTAGATAGATAACCAAGCTAAATACAGGGGAGGGATTATGAAAAATGACTGGCATCTAACAAAAGGGAATCCCAAAGTCTTCTGTAAGCACATCAGTAGTAAAAGGAGGAATAGGACCAACTAAGGAGCAAAAAGGAGAATTACACTTAAAGGCAAGAGGCACGAGGTATTAAGTGAATATTTTGCATCTGTCTTTGTCTATGAGGCCAATGCTGCCAGAGGAATAAATAATCAATTCAGTTAC